CACCGTGCCCGCTCCCTCCCAGGCCGGGCCGGCGCTGCCCTCCGGTGGCCGCTTCCGGTACTGCAGCCAGCCGGCCGGTTCTGGGGAACCGGGGGGGCACCTGCATCCCAGGGGAGCAGGGGTTCGCAGGGGACCACAAGACAGAGCAGCTGACGCCCGGCTCCCCACTCAGCTTTCCCTAAATGACAGCAAAAAGGGGAAGGATGAGGAGAGAGGTACAACGAAGGACCCACATACCAGGTCCCGTCTTCCAACCTTTCTGTGTACTTCTGTTGGAAAAGTCAGGTGGCTACACATCAGTGGTTTCAGTGAAGGGACAGGTCTGAGGGCCACAGGTACATTTCTGTACAGGCAGACATCATACCTAGGTACCGAAACAGCCCAAACTGCTGAGCTCCCACTATTCATACTGCTCCTGCACGGCAGCTGGACCCTGCACGTGCCACCTACCCATATGACAGGCAACGCCGTGCTCCTCTTACGGTGTAACTAACGTGTCTTTTTTGCCTGATGGCAGAGGAGGGGTAGATAGGATATGGGAGGGCAGTGCCCTGTAGTGAAGCCCGCACATGATATGTGGTCACCTGCACATTCTCTGAAACAGAAAGGTTTTGCAGTTTGTCTTCTTGAGACACCCAGATAATGCATCCTGCTGTAAACCCACTTCTGAGTCCTTGGGGTAAGCAACATAGATGGGAAATTCTCACTAAATGCAACTGTGCAGTTCGCAGCTTCACTTTGGCCTTGGCAGGATGTTCCCTGAGCTTACCGTCTGGGTTGTGGGTATTTTACCAAAGTTTTCTTCTGTCCCTTTAGTATCTATAGATGATGAGAGGTTTTCTTAATTCCCTCTTCTCTGTTCTAACTTCCCCCAACTACCCCATGAAAGTTCTTCAGTAACTATCTTTGGGGTTTCATCTTCTTGATGATTTAATTAACGACAAAAATTTGTGCAAGAATTCACAAACCTGATCCTACTCTTCCAAACATTCAGCCTCAGATTCTAAAAACCAACGTTTCTGTTGTTAGCAAGGAGATGAAGATATTCTGCACTCCTTAGGGCATGACTCCAGTATTTGTTTTCATATACAGACAAAGGAATATTTTCCCCAACACCAATTCTGCCACCCACTGTTTTTTCTTTCTTTCAAATTCTTTAACTGCTATTACTATGTTGCATCCTGATGTCTTGATCCAACCTGATGGCACTTCATTTGCTGTCTCGCTATTGATTCATCATGCCCTATTACAGAGACATAATTTTGCAATGCAGGTTCACAGTGATTACCACTTAATCTTTACCAACATTCTGCATTATCCCTTGAAAACATTAAACAAATCTAACAAAGATGTTTCAGAGCTCTGAAATCCCTTTCCACCACTGCTTCAATCAAAGGAAAGCAGCTCAATCTTCCTAGACGGGGTTATGCTGAGTTACATGATTCAGAAATACAAGTGATGTTTTAGGGTAAGGAAGGAGCCTGTCAGGCAAGAATTACTTTCAAAAACTGTCAGGAGCAGATGGGTGGTTGGAAGGAAAGGAGAAGAATCAAAAAGAAAACAAAGCCTAGTAACTTTTAGGTATACATGTCCCTTGAAGGCATCCTTGCCTCATCTGCATCTTTAAAGCTGTGGTTCCTGACACCAGCCTCAGTGGGGAATTATTACTAGTAATCTTTCAGGTACCGTGCTCACCTCTACATTTTCAATTTCATTTAAAAAGCCAATGCAAAAAAGGTGACCAACGATTTAACAGTCTTGAAAATATTTTACCTAGTAATAAAAGCATCACACTATTTTTGCCTGAGCTAGTAAAGCATAAGGGAAATCCACAACGTAGGCAAATGGAAAACAGTAAAGATGGGTAGACTTCTTTTTTTTTCATTTGGCAAATTTTAGAATTTTATGAACAAGTACATTTTTACATCTCAGAACTAATGAGGGGAGACTAGAAATGTGCTATGGTTGCTTTGATAAGCAGATTGTTTCACTGATAACCACACATAGATCGTTCCTATTAATGGACCACGTCCCCTTATGAATAGTGCAACAAACTCCAACACAAACCAGTACAATTTAATTTCTCAGTGTCTTTTAATCATATTTAAAACATGAAAACATTGTTCCATTGCAACTTCCTATCTAGTCCCTTTCTCAAAACCTGACTCAGGGACAGTGCTTGTCAGTGTGCCCAATTTTAAGTATTATCTCACATCACAAGCACAGTTCCAGCAGACCTTGAATGATTTTAGATTTCAATAGACAGTGAACATTTTTTGGGCTTAATACATACCAGGACAGGAATGTTTTCCTGACTTAAGGGGTTGTATTTTTTTTTAACTATTTACCTCATTCATCTTAACAGATGTTCATTGGTTCACTATATGGTGACCTAGCAGGAAGGTGTCTGCTCACACTGGCTTGCCTTTGGAGTATTTTCCAGTATGTTACTAAAAACTCTGCTTGGTACTTCAGCAAACTACTGCACAGCTTTCTTCATCTAGAAATTCTCATAGCTGCCCTTTTTCACTGCTACCTTTCCAGGGAAGATGTCATGCACTCATATATATTGATAGAAAGTTCTAAAAATCAGCACAACCCAAAAAGGTAATTTGCAAAGGCAGGAATTTTTCTATAAGGAAAACCAGAATATTAGAAGAAAAAAAAAAAAATCCAAATGGAGGAAAGATATAGCAGTGACCAAGAATCAGCTAGCAAAACCATCATACCAGCTGTGACTTAGAATGTCTTGTTTTACAACAAATTTTGTCCCCATTACGTGTAGGTTTCTTTGGTAAAAGGGAAAATCAGCAATTGCTAAACTTAACATCCTTACCTCAAAAAATAATAATAAAAAAAAGAACAAACAAAAAAAAAGACAACAAATGAAGATAAATCTTACTGTGGAAGATTAAACAAACCATGGTAAAAATTTCCATCAGGCAGTTTCAATTTATGACTTATCTTTCAGGACAGAAACTCAGTGATGAATGACTAGCAATGGGGGTTAATTCAGAGGAAGATTATTTCTTACCCGACTTGTTCTTGCACTCAATATCATAGCCGGTGATTGGGCTGTTTCCATCAAATCCCATGGTCCACCTGAGGGCAATACTGCGTGCTCTCACCTCTCGGATTTCTATTTCAGGAGGGTCGGGGGGCTCTGAGTAAACATACACACACAGTTTTAGTCGGAAGAAAGCCCGTAGTCGTAACAAGATTACATTAATGAGCGTGACACTGGCACAGCTTACTGGTGGTAAGCTCTCATGGTGTTTTCTTGGTCACTCATTAGTACCCTGAGCCAGTTAATCACCTGCTGAAGAGTACTCAACAGAGGGAGGAAAAGTCACTTTTCAACTAGGAATCACTGATGTAATCTTGAGTACTGACTTCTACTTAACCTCCTTATATGCAACAGAGCTGCACCTCCTTAAAAGCACTCCAGATCGGACTGCTCATGCTAGACAATGTTTTTGCCTTGAAAACCAGGTTTCACTGATACTTCTACAGTTTTTACACAAAAGGTGATTGTAGAAATATGAATACTAAACTTAAAAGTGCTAAATGTGATGGGGGGAGGGAGTAAAATTTCTATGTTTAAAAGTCTTCATTTAATAAAAGAATAATTTGGTAGCAGTTTAAAAATTACACTAAACCCTCTTTCTGCCTCTAGAGTTAAGGATGTAAATAAATAGCATTTATACCCATTCTAAAGCCCCTTTAAATTGCCAAAGCAGTTTAAACAAACAATGGTGTAACTGAGAACCTGTCTGCACACTCCACCCAAATTATTTTACAGGGCTCCCTTAGGCATTCACTGACATCTGCAGTTACTTGAGTGGGGAGAAAGAAATTTGCAAGTCCTAGAAATCTGTTGTGTGTGCTCAGAGGCATACAAGCACAGGAACAAGCATGGCACAGAAATAAGCAGTAGCCGGTGGCTGAGTCCTGCCCGTGCCCTACATCTCAAATGCTGTCACCTCGACCACTCCAGGACTTGCTGCCTTAGCGAAACCCTGTGGGAGGGGAAGCCCAGTCCCAGGCAACCTAAGTTCCTAGAGTGTGATTTGTGCAAACTGATTACAATTTATTTTGACTGATTAGACTTGAAATATTTTCTTTAAAGATCCATAGGAGGTTTTACATTTCTCTAGAGGTAGTCAGATCGCTTTTGCTTTGTTTCAGACATGGGTCTTAAGGACGTTTGTTCTTTAAAAACAAATGTAGCGCTCTTCCCCTAAAAAGTAACCCCCTTGTAGCCACTGTCCCTACTGGAGATGATAGTTTTAAGTATCTTTAGTAGGTTGTCAGCTAGTATGTTTAAGAAGAATTCTCCTTATTAATTTGTACTGATCTAGAAAGACTCAAGCTTATTCTTTATTTTGATTTAGTCTGTGATGCTAGAAAATGAAAGACTGAGCATCTTAACGTGGCTCCTCATTTCTTTGACAATGAGGAATACATTTAATTAGGAATCAGAGCCTCCCTCCCCAACAGATTTCTGAGGACGGTGTACACTTACTGTACTACAATAGCTGTGTTTTTTTCCTTACGTTGTCCTCTTCCTACCTTGCACAGTGAGCTGAATTATTCCACGATCCTCCCCATAAGAATTGATGGCGTGGCAGGAAAAGAAGCCAGAATCTTCACGCACAGTTGGCAAAATCTATAGGTGGTTTGAAAAGAAGTGATTGATTGAACAGCATGCAGAGAAAATAAACCAACAGCTTTTCTGTATGGTGCAAGAAAAATTGTACAAACTGCTTTACTTGACAGTAATAAATAGATATTGCATGTTATACACATACATACATATGCATAATAAAGCTTCCAAAATACCAAGATTATCAAAATCAGCAACACCTGGGTTGAGGAAGCAAGCTATCAGCTCTACATGTGTTGTCAGGATTTGGAGCACCACCTATTCCTGTAGCTTCTCATTAGGAGTCTTGTTTGCAGTTACTCGTAAGTTTGCCAAGTATTTAACCGTTGGCTGAAATTTTCCGTACAAAATGGTGCCTCCTGCTGCCTCCAAATTTTTCCAGTTATTTCTGAAAATAACTCAAGTGGCTGAAGTCTGTGTGAAGGAAATAAAGCTTCAAACACTAGTGGTGAACCCTGTAGCATTCAGCATGTTGCCTCATAATAAAATTTTGGCTGGTCTTTCTTTTCAATATTTGTTTAATAATGTTGAAAGTTTTACAGTCTCTACATACATAATTATAATGATATTTTTCTACAGGACCACTGCTTCATTCAACGTTCAATAGGGAGAGGATTTAAAAAAAAAAATCATCAGATATTCCAAATACCATTTTCTTCTCATCTTTCAGTGTGCTGCTCCACACTTTATTTACTGCACACAGTTCAAACTGTGCCTTGAAGATAGACCTATTAATTTTCTCATAGCCCTTTCTGTGGCATTCACCTATGCAATTCCCATTTCAGAAACAGGAGTGAATTTATTTTCATAAACCCTGACATCATGAAGAGTATTACCACCATTTCGTACGGGGAATTAAGGAACCAGACAGATGCTAATGTTTGTGGCTGCTTGATAAGTTGCCACATATTAACTGAACCATGGCAACTTCACGTGCTCTTTATTCCTCAGCAAAACCAAGGTAATATGAGCACAACTCTCATTCACCACTGGTTAAGATAAAGGGATTAATTTCCCACTCGCTACAAGGATATTGGAAAGTTATCATCTGAGATGAGATAACTTGTCAAGCTGTGTGAAGTTGCACATGTGGCTGACCTTTAAGATAGAAAACAAAAAAATTTCAGAGCCCAATTTGATACTTCTAGGGTCTTCTTTTCCCCCCTCAGAGTCCTTAGCAATAAATAGCATTTCATGTGTTCATAACAGCTTCCATTGAGTTAAGCTGCAGCTATGAGGGCTTAGTACTTCTGCAAATCAGACCCCAAGGGCTCAAGGCAAGTACCTAGAAAACAAAGAACACACAATTATTGGCCACCTGTGAAAAGTTTGGTTTCAATGATCAGCCTTGCATCACACAGTGTCTTTCATTACTCAGCCCTAATTCAACTCCAGAGAAAATCCAAGTCATGCCTGACTGAGGCAGGGGTCCTGCAGAAAAAATAAAAGCTGAGTATACAACTAAAGATCACATCATCATGCACACATGCAAAAGCACTGAGTTAAAACCTTCAGAGAAAACCTTAATCCTGTAATTTTCTATTTTTTGAGCATTTTATCTCTCAGAAGACAAAAGTTCTGTATGTAACATACATATGGATGTAGAACGCCACTACCGTACACAACTGCTTCAGAAGAGAATTCTCCAAGCAGGTCTCCAGCCTTCCAAAAAGAAATACTGCTGTGCATCCAGGCATTATCTTATTAAAGTCAATAAGACGAATGAGGGCAGACAGTTCTAGAGGTCTATCCTATAATTAAATATTATTCGTAACACAAATATACTAACACGAACAAAGTCACACATAGAACTTATTATTCCTCATAGAAATCAATGACAAAGCTCCCTCACAAAGAGCAAAACCAGGTTTTTACTGAATATCATCTGACACAATTTTTGGCTAGTAAAGAAAGAGAGGTACCTTAAGAGTTACACTACGATACAGACAACCACCGGAGAGCTAGAAAATTATTTCCTTGAGCCTGGTAAAAATGCTTTTAAGAATGTGAATGAGAAATGGAAAATTTAAATTTGAGTGGAAAAGCCAGAACAACAGAAGTTTCCTGAGCTTCCATGGCATTTGGGGGAAACTTAAGTCTCCAAAACAACAGTGCAACTCATGTGGCCCCTCAGTCTAATCCAGGTCAGCCACTTAGTAGTTAACGTAGTCTACATACTGATTTGTCAGGCAAGCTGAGATGCGTGGTTCCCAAACCACCAGACAGCTGACTGTCACAGAAGCAGAAGTGAAAGTGCAGACTATGACCATTTGCTAGGTGATTCTGCTACTGGGTACAATAAGTGCCAAACACTACCTGCAGCAGTAGATATTCTCTTACGTATCTACACATACCCTTTCCTTCCCTCTCATTTTGAATCCAATGACTAATCTGACTGTAAAATGTCCTCACAAGCCCCATAAAGTTAAAGGGAGGAAGAAAAGCTACTTTATAAAGACAGCATTTTTATCTCAAAACAGATTAGTAATTCTGGTGAAGGTGAGCTGGACACACTTCAAAGCTAGTGGTCAGATATTCACTCAGCACTTGGAGCAGTGTACTTAGAACTGAGCTGTGCTGCCCCAGGAAGGCATAAAGGACTGTGGGGGCCGCGAGCCAGGCTCTCTCTCTCGCTGCCTCTGGAGCATGGGAAGATGGAGACTAATTTTTCTGGGAGGTGGGATGCTCTACTTCCTCTTGCTGCTAACTGTCCAAGAGTAGTGGGGCTCTGACCTTGTAGGACAGAGGCAGATGTGCATCCCTACCAACACAAAATCAAGCAACACTCCCATGTGTGTGGATGGGTCGTGAGTCTCTCTGTTTTCTTACCTGCAAAGTAGAAATCACTTCATCTCCAACTTCCTTGGTGGAAACAAGGTAACGGGACATTTCAGGGTTAATGATTCGGTCTTCTTTTTCCCAGCGGACTATGATGGGCTTCTCTCCATGTGCCGTGCAGCTCATTTCCTTCTTTTGACCTTGCGTTGCCAAGGTGGTATTTGGATAGGAAGTTATCATAGCTGGAACTAAAACCAGACAAAACAAAACAAAAAAATCGCTCTTGAGTGAGCTGACTAAGGCATTGGACCTTCAAACAGGGTCTCAGGTTTTCCATATTTGACCAGATGGTCAAAAATGCGAGAAATTATTTTACTTTAATTTCTTTGCAAGAGAATTTATTTAAGACTGAAGATGGGCCTCAAAGGGACTTAGCAGAGAGGAGCTAATACTGGACAGTGGGGTTGTAGAAACAAGGAGATGTAAATCCAAAGGAATCCTGATTCCATTTGTTTTGCTGCTCACATGACAACTTGTAACAGAATTAAAATATTCATAGTACATAAAGGTACTGTAAACAATAAGCATTCAGTTATGGGGCCAATAAAGAACTGATAAAAATCTCTTATTTCTTCTGATGAGCTACTGTTTTATTTACTGACAGATACATGCTCTACCATTTTGTATGACAGTAATGACCTATCAAAATGAGGGCTCAATTAAACCAGGAACTCTACAAAATTAAAAGAAAGGCTCTGCACCAAAGAGCTTACACTCCATGTATGTGCTGAGTGCACAGTTAAACTGTATTGAACTGAAAGTGTAAGTAAACTGACAATAAACCTAGCCAGATTGGAATTTTCATTGTGTTCAGAAGATATTTGCAGATTGGTTTGGACAAAACTGTCAACCTAGTCATTCAGGATTTAAAAAAAATTATGTTGAAAAAGGTACTCTCTTGATAACAAGAATAGGCTTAAACCCCGAGTATTTTCATATTTGGAATAAGAATTTTCTGGAAATAGGAAGAAAAATTCCTCCGAGTGTTTTACTGCAAACCTCTCAAAACATTGCATTTTGGAAACACGATGGTCTCTTTGGTGTTCTCAGTAGACTGTCCTTTCCTTCCCATATGATTTGTCCACCAATTAATAGTATCTGGACATTTGTGAGTAGGAAGAATCAAAGACCATGAGCCTATCTTTCAGTTCTGGCCATTTCCCAGCCTGGGAGAAACTGGAAAGCTCTGGACAGCACACAGAACTGCTCTATTCTGAATGAATAGGTCCACTCCTTTCAAAGCATGTAAGGTGGCAGTAAAGAGCCCTTTCTCTAAGCTTTCACACTCCAGGGCTGCCTCCTGCAATAGCCCCACTCTCCTTGTTTTTATGCATGAAGACTTGCCTCTTCTTATCAGAACTCACTCATTCCGTCTGAACTTCTCTGCGTCTCTATTTTAAGAAGATGACATTGGCACAGGACCTGATTTGAGGCCTTCCCAGTCTTTCTTCCATGTAGGAGATTGCATCAATTGCTACCGGTCAGGGAAAAAAACCCCAATCTGATTTAAATGAATTACTATAATTGCTGTTCAGAAATGTTAATGCTTGGTGGCATGACCTTTTCACATGCCAGAGCTATTGATGCTTGGATATGACAATATGTCAGGATGCAGCCCTTTCTGTTCAAAGCCTTCCTGAACCAAAATAAACCAGTCTGAATATTAACAGGGCTGTGGAACTGTGGGTTGGAGTTACAAATGGGATCTAATTACAGGAAGAACTCTTAGAAAGGTCTTGTGTGAGATGTGAGGCTCTTTAGGCACTGGTACACATTTTCAGTGAATTACGTCTTGTTTAACTGTTTTGTCAGATGAGGATTCCAAGAGAAGAAATGATGAATAATCAGAATAGAAAATTAGGACAAGTCTGATTCCATCTTACAGAAAATGAAAATAGCTTCACTTTTAGCTGGCATCTGTCCAAGCAGTAGTACCCACAAAGAGGTTACTTTCAGAAGGTCACTTTCTGTGACCATGTCTTTGTTGCCTCCAAACACAGAAGCTAGCGCAGCAGGCCTACGTAGCTGTGGGCCTGTGGGCCCTGTATGCGCAGGTATATGTACTTGAACATATCTGTTCTCATCTGCAACACCTGAAACTGCCCAATATATCCTTTAATGCATTTTTTTTATTAATAAGAGTTCCAATTCAAATGAGTGGCAGGCTATTAAGGAGTCGACATTACCATCGTTACCTTGTGCTACCACCTTTCATCCTTCCATAATCTCCCAAGTCTCCCACATGTTCCTTCCTTTTTCATGTGCTGCACCTCTTCACGTTTCCCTCATTTTTCCTCAATGCAACATACTCCAGTCCCCTTCACCTCTTCCTCTCCTCTTCTTGCTGCAAATTCCTCAGGATCTCACATGTTCCCTAAACCCTACAGCAACATCTTCTTCCTTCAATCTCATTTCCCATCCCTAATTAAATCATGCCAACTTCCCAAGTCACCTAAATTATTTTCTCTACAGCTGTGGTCCTTCTTTCCAGTAGTATCTCCTACTTTGAATTTCTCTGGTGAAGGAGGGAGCCTGAGCTTAGCCCACCCCGGAGCTGAAGGGTGATATGCGCCTCCTCACGAGGTACCTGATCTACCAGGGGGCCTGTGCTCCCAGGCGGGAGGGCTCAGCATTCAGAGCTGGTGAGCCATGCACTGGCAGGTCTATCTTCCTCCTGTTTCATGGGAAAACAGGACCTTTGGATTTGAGTTTAAATCCCATGGACCTTGAGAAACCTGTCTCAGAGACTCCTTCCGTACTTTAAGGTCTCCTAAACAGTTGTCTACCAAAAGTCCCCTAATGGATGACAACGGCAAACCAAACACTGACTATCCTGCTTGCATTTTAAAGAACATAGTCTAGATTATGACGATCACTTTTTTTTCTAGCAGACTTTCTTAATAAGAACAGCATAAAAAAAAAGTAAAGAAAGATGACTTTATTCCTCAGATACAGCTTTATCCCTGCTTATCCTTTCCTTCCTCTCACATAATCTTCCACACAGATTCCTTATTGCCATAGCAATGCCTCACAGCTAAATATTTCCCCTTCCTCCAAAGCTGATTTTTTACTCTTCACAATTTATCTCCAATGATCCTAAACCATAAGCTCTTCTTTTTATCTTCCTCCATGTCAAAAGATTTCTGGTAACAAAGCCACATCCCAAAAATATTTTAGGCAATGTGTTTCTTCATCCTCCAACTATCTTTAATCATATTACTGATTCAAACAAGTGAGATAAATATGCTCTCTCTTAACTGCCAAAATAATCTGGAAAACAGTAAATAGGCAAATTAAATCTGTACTATATATGCATGAGAGATTCTCACAGGATATCTTAAAAAATGTGAAGACATTTAGAAATATAGTGAGATGACTCAGAAGCCATATTAAGTGTGTGTATCCTTTATATCTCTTCAAATATGCATTATATACACACACATATAATGATATGTATTAATGTAAGAGAATATTGGAAGGGAAGGGCATGTTGCTGCACATATTCAAGGAATGCATATTGTCATGTTCCTGGATTTTGAAGTAGGCTTCCCTATGGGACAAATTAATTAATCTTCTGGGGTTCTTCACATTTTTCTCTGTAGCATGCCATGTGGTGCCGGGCATTATTAAAGGTCTATTGGTCAAAACTGGACAAAATAGAAGCTACAGTTTAGGGTTTATGGTGATTTCCATTATCAAGGCATGCATATTGCTACCAGCAGCATTAATCTAGGAGACTTCTCTGTTTAAAACTGGCCTTCCATTTGGAAAGCTGATTTTTTTATTCATTTTCCCAGGTCAGACCAATGTTTTCTGCTTTCTTTGTAACAACCGAGTAAGGAGTAATCACACTGCTTTATAGTATTAACAACTTCATCATTAAAAATTGATGTGCAACATTCAGCAGTCGAGGTTACTCTTAAGAATCATGGAACTGGATCAGACAAAACAAGAACGTTTTGTCCCACACTTGAAGAAAACGGAACCTGGGCCTTTCCTGAGGTTCAGTAAAAAGTACTTACTCTCACTTTTCTCTGCTACTGCTGAGTGTTTCATCAGGAATTAAATGCAAATATAAATTAAAACATCTAATTACCTTGACAAAGACTAGTCTCATTGTCCAAGGCTATAGTAAGTTAGGTGAACCTTGAGCAAAGTAACAGTAACTTTTGAATCCTTTTGGAATAAACCTTCATGAGTACTAGAAAACCGAAACTCACATTAATTTAAAAAATAATGGAAGGAGCTGGTGTGTGCAAGGATAAGGATTTTTTTCTTTTTTTTAGCTCATAGATGGAAATAGCCATGTGGGAAGAAAGCAAATTAAAAGGTTGCTATTTTTAATTAAACACAAAATATCCTTGTAGCATCCTTAAGAGATTTTAAGACTGACTGAAGTTCTCAGTACATTTAAGAACTATTGCTATCTGTAGTCTCCGAATATTATTTTTCTAGCAAGCTGACTGTGGTGAGAGAGAAATACAACACAGTCAGCTCCACAATCAATGGAGAGATGCCTGTGATACTCTACAGTGTGCTCTGAGCTGTATTGAAAGTTAGATTGCTTATCATAGCCGAACATTAATGAAGATTCAAGTTGCTCTTGATAAAGAGGATGAAAAAGATGCAGTAGATAAATAAATCAAATTATATAGAGATGTGGAGACAACTGAACACAGTGAGAAATTGAGAGTGTGCTCGGTAACACACATCCTGGACTCTGTCAGTGACGTGACTCCAAGCATATCAAGATGTCTCACCATGTTTCCACTTCTCTCGGTCTGAAGATCTCTGCTCTGGCAGAATGTCCTCCCATGTAACTCGGCTCCTTCACTGGAGCATGCTCAAACTGGCCAGTTTGGAGAAATGTCTGTCACTATAGTGGGATTTATCTTCCAAGCATCTATGCCAAGCTAGGCACCGTAGACTTCCTCAGTGGAAAGAAAGATACAGAGTTCTGTTCACCTAACCAGATGCCCTCAAAAGCCTCTTCTTTACACTGATAGTTGAGGAACCTGCAATGCCTTGTTCAGTTGCAGAGATGTGCACACTAGTTCTGTAATGGGGGAAGATGAACGCCATCTGCTTTTTAGAACAGAGGACTATGGCCCTCTGATATAGTTTAAACACCCTTGGGTAAAAATAACCATGAATGAGGGCAGGACTTGTGATAAGACAAAACTGCATT